CTCATTTCAACCCACTTATATAGATGGAGTCCTGGTGTATCACTGTAGGTTAAGCACTAGACTGCCAACCACAAGGTCTGCAGTTCAAACCCACCAGTCGCTCCCTTGGAAACCCTATACAGGATCACAATGAGTAGGACCCAACTCAATGGCACTTAACAACAACAGCCATACAGATAAGGAGGCAACCCTGATACTCAGTGGTTAAGGACTTGATTTCCAACCAAAAGGTGCAATTGAAACCAGCAGCTCTGAGGGAGAAAGATTTGGCTGTCCGTGTCCCTAAGGATAACAGCCTATGGGACTATTCTCCTTTACCTCTAGGGTCTCTATGAATCAGCTTAGCAGCAATGGGTTTGGTTTTACAAATACTCTGCCTAGGCCAAGTTCATATAGCTAGTGAGTAGCTGACTCCACATATGAGCACTGCTTTGTAGTTCTGACCATGTTTGGAGGATGAAGGAGAAGGCGGTGTCCTTGCAGGGATGGGAATGCTGAGTGAGGTAAGCCAAACCACACAGACATGGTTGGTTACAGGAAAGGGAAGCTGTCTGAACTAATGTTCGCATGTCTATTTTTTCCTTGAGCCTAAAATTATTTGACTGCGAACAATTCTCCAGAGAAGGCTGTGGTGGTGGCTGTGGTGTGACATAAGAACCCTAGTCTGGGATTCAACAGATCTTGAGTTCTAGTCTCAGCTTTGATATTGACCTGCTGTATGATGTTGAGCAAGTGACTTGTAACGAATAGCTTTGGATAAAGAGCTCTGGTAGCATAGTGGGGCTGCTAACTTCACAATCAGAAGTTTGAAACTACCAGCAGTTCCATGGGAGAAAGATGAGGCTTTCTGCTCCTGTAAAGATTTACAGCCATGGAAACCCTGTGGTCACTATGAGTTGGAATCAACTCCATGGCACACCATCATGACCGTGAGTTGCAACTGATTCAATAGCACTTAACAACAACAACAATAAGCAATAGGTTTGGATGATCTCTCAAGGGTCTCTTCCATGTCAAGATTAAAGCACAGAGTGTAAACTGCAGTTCCAGTTGGCCAATGGGGACCATATGAAGTGAAGCACAATAGTTGAAAGCAAGGGGCCTGGAATCAAATCAGAGGGAAGTGGGTTCCAATCCTATGCTACTGCCTACTGGCCTCAAGCTCTTTGTGTTTCCTTTGTCCCATCCATCAAATGGGTATGATCATACTGCTCTTGGTTTGTTTTCTGTTTCCTTTGTCCCATCCATCAAATGGGAATGATCATACAGCTCTTGGTTTGTTTTCTGTGATTTGACTTTTCAATTTGTATCTGATAACTTTAGATGTTTATAAGTTTTCCATTTTAATATAGTGAGATTTATAAGCCTTCTCCTCGTGCCTTGTATTTTTAGTGACTGTAGAAATCCTTCCTTATACTTTGCAGAGGGGTTTTAAAGATTTGCTTTTCACATTTAGTTATTAAATCCACATGGAGCATATCTTTGCTAAGGAGTGAGAAATATAATTTTGTTTTTCTCCACACGAGCACCTAGTTATCCAATACCATTCACTTATTATTTCATACTTTACCCAGTGACTTTCTCTGTCGTATACCATGTTTCATTATATCCAAGGCTCTATCTTTGGACTGTATTTTGTTCTTTGTTTCTGTAACAATAGCATACTAATCTTAACCATAGCTTTATAATAACTCTTAGTGTTTTATAAGGTGATTACTACCACTTTGATATTCCTCAAAAATCTTGGTCAATTTTTTATCTTTGATATTCTATATACATTTTAGAATCAGACCATCATATTTTCCAAGGATCCCTGTTTGATTTTAGTTTGTTTTTGAGATAAGATTGAGATGATCAATTAAAATGCTTCGCCCTGAACCTGAGACAGTAAAGTTTAATGGTCAGCACCTAGTGTTTCTATTATTACCCTTCACAACTGTACAGAGCCTTTATTTTCTTATTGTTTGGGAACCACCCAATAATACAGCCAGGTGTTCTTGACTATTATTCTCATCTGGAAGATTTAGAAATTGAAGATTCAGGTGAAAGGTGGTCCTGGCCCTCTGAGTCAATTTGATCACTCACTAACCAATGGAGATCTGCAATTAAAAAGATATAACTAGACTATCTGAAGGGTAGTATTTGATCTTCATCAGTAAGTACTTCAGATCTTCACATCCAACAAGCAAGGTTGTGTTATCTGCAAATCACAGGTTGTTAATGAGTGAGTCTTCCTCTAATCCTGATACCATGTCTTCATATAATCCAGTTCATCTGGATTGAATATGTATGGTTAAAGGATACAATCCTGACACATACCTTTCCTGATTTTGAGCCACTCAGTATCCCCTTGTTCTCATGAACACAATTGTTTTGGAACTCCCATTCTTCACAATGTTATCCATAGTTTGTTATGTTTCACATAGTTGGATGCCTTTGAGAATCCACATTACTATGGATTGCACCTCAATGTAAAGAAAAGAAAAATCCTCACAACTGGACCAATAAATAACATCATGATAAAAAGAAAAAAGATTGAAGTTGTCAAAGATTTCATTTTACTTGGATCCACAATCAATGCTCATGGAAGCAGCAGTCAAGAAATCAAATGATGTATTACATTAAGCAAATATGCTGTGAAAAACTCTTAAAGTGTTAAAGAGCAAAGATGTCACTTTTCTTTTGCAAAGATGCCACTTTGAGGACTAAGGTGCACCTGACCTAAGCCAAGGTAGTTTTATATGCATGCAAAAGCTTGACAATGAATAAGGAAGACTGGAAAAAAAAATCAATGCATTTGATTTATGGAGTTGGTGAAGAATATTGAAATTACCATGGCCTAACAGAAGGACGAAAAAACCTGTAAGACCAAGGAAGTCTGGCTAGACTTTGGCTCAGTCCAGTCCTGATTGCTTCTTAGAATCCATGACAGTGAAACTTGTCTCTCATACTTTAGACAGATCGGGAAAGACCAAACCCTAGAGGGAGTCATACTTGGTAAGGGAAAGGGTCAGTGAAAAAGAAGACTCTCAACTAGATGAATGACACAGTGGCAGTCACAATGGGCTCAAAGACAGCAATTGTGAGGATGGCACAGGACCAGCAGTGTTCCCTTCTGTTGTACATTAGGATTGGTATGAGTCAGAAATGACTAGAGGGCACCTAATAACAGATTGATTATTTGGGAACAGAATTCTCCAGAGAAGGCAGTGGTGATGATTGTGGTGTGCTATAAGAATCCAAGGGTACTTTCCTGATCCGAGGTATTAGTAAGCTTCTGGTAAAGTGCTAGGATTTGAATCCGATGGGAATCGGGGAATCGGAAGGCGACCTGGTGATGCAGTAATTAAACTCTGGGCTGCTAACCAAAAGGTGGGCTGTTCAAACCGACCAGCAGCAGGGGGAGAAAGACATAACAATCTGATTTTGTAAGGATTACAGGTCTTAGAAGGAGCTCTGGTAGTGTAGTGGTTACAAATTGGGCTGTAAACTGCAAGGTCAACAGTTCGAAAATACCAGCTGTTATGCGGGAGAAAAATGAGGCTTTCTGCTCCTATAAAGATTTACAGCCTAGGAAACCCTGTACAGGGTCGCTATGAGTGGTAACCGACTCCACAGCACATAACCACCACCACCACAGGTCTTAGAGTCCTGGTTTGGCGCTGTGGGTTAATGCGCTGGACACAAAGTTGAATTGAACTGCAAGGTCAGCGGTTCAAGCTCACCAGTCCCTCCTCAGAAACCCTATACAGGGTCGCTGCTATGGGTTGGAACTGATTCGAGGACATTTAACAACAACAGGCCTTGGAAAAGTTATAGGGGCAGCTTTATTCTGTCCTACAGTAATGCGTAAAGTGTTGAAGAGCAGAGATGTCAGCTTGAGGACTAAGGTGCGCCTGACCCAAGCCATGGTATTTTCCATAACCTCATATGCATGCGAAAGCTGGACAGTGAATAAGGAAGACCATAGAAGAATTGATGCTTTTGAGTTATGGTGTTGGAGGAGAATATTGAAAGTGCCATGGACTGCCAAAAGAACCAACAGATCTGTGTTGGAAGAAGTACAGCCAGAGTACTCCTTGGAGGCCAGGATGGCCAAACTTCATCTCTCATACTTCAGACATATTGTCAGGAGGGACCAGTCGATGGAAAAGGAGAAGGATATCATGTTTGGTAAGGTGGAGGGTCAGAGAAAAAGAGGAAGACCCCCAACGAGATGTATTGGCTAAGTGGCAGCATCGATGGACTCAAGCATGGCAACAGTAGTGAGGCTGGCCCAGGATCGGGCAGTGTTTCGTTCTGCTGTACATAAATAAGGTCGCTATGAATTGGTACGACTTGATGGCACCTAACAACAACAACAAAAAGAGCTCTGGTAGCGTAGTGGTTACGAACTGGGCTGTGAACCGCAAGGTCAGCAGTTCGAAACTACCAGCTGTTCTGCGGGTTCTACCATCAGGCTTTCTGCTCCTGTAAAGATTTACAGCCTTGGAAACCCTGTACAGGGTCGCTATGAGTCGGAACCGACTCCACGGCACATAACTAACCAACCACCACCACCACCAACACAGTAATGCGTCAGAACCGACTTCACTGCAATGGGTTGGTTTTGCGGGGGGAAATCGGATTCATGCAGCCCCATACCTCAACCTGGCTCTAGAAACCTCTTGGCTGCAGCTGGGGGCCGAAGGGAGGGACTGTGGGCGGGGCCTGGGCGGGATGTAGGGGAGCTGCCTGCTGCCTCCTGTTCCGCGGAGGAAGCCGCCAGCCGCGCTACTCCGCTTATTGGCTACGGCCGGCAGGTGCGTCCTCAGCCAATCAATGGCCTGGGGGCGTCGCCCTCCTGGCTCACCTGGCGGCTGCTGCGCGACTCAGCTCAGTGGCGTCGGGAACCCCAAAGCACCTGTGAGTCCTAGGAAGTCTGGCTAGAGTCTAGCCCAGCGCTGCCCAGCCCTGCCCCACCCAACCCCCGCCTTTTCTCGGCACCCGTCCGGCCCGCCATGGGCCCCCAGCACCACAGTCTCCTCGCACTCTTGCTGTTGCTGGAGGTATGTTCGCTCACCTGACCTCAGAGGACGCCTTCCTTCAGAGAAAGTTTGGGTCTGAAGGGCATGAATGGCCTTGGGAGAGGTACCTTCCAGGAAGGGGGAAGCGAAGCGCACTCTCCCGTCCCCTCCCGCAGACACCTTGGCGGGGGGGTGGGGGGCGATCGCTGGGGCTCCGGGGACGGACTCGGTGTTGGTTGGGATACGGGCTTGGACCGGACATTGGGGTCGTGGATCCATTTGGGAGTTGTACTAGGAGTGGGGACGAAGTAAGGCAAAGGGCATTCATAGAAATCAGGATACCGCCCATGAAAAGAAAGGAATGGGGCTTCCCTGGGATAAGGAAAGTATTGTCCAAAGGGGTTGAGAATTAGATTCAGGAGTGGGGGCGTTCCGAGATTAGGAAAATGAGGAAAAATCGTGAAGAGTTTTCATCTCCAGACAGGAAGCAAAGTAGCGCACAGCCACTTTTTTCTCGAGAGGGAGTTCCTGGCGGGCTTGGCGACCTGTTTCAGAGTGGGAGAGGGTGAAAATGTCCACTGCCGGGGTGTGGGGCTTCTCCCTCTGTCCGAACGCCGCGAGCAAAGAAAGGTCTCATTGAGGGCCGGTGGCGCCCCCCAAATCACTCCAGTTTCACACCTTTCCCCACCGCAGGTTTCATCGTGCCTCGGTGAGGAGCGGGAGCTCTGTAGTCCCGGCTTTGGCGCCGAGAGCTACACGTTCAAGGCTCCCCGGCGGCTCCTGGAGAGAGGTCGCGTTCTGGGCAAAGGTGAGCGCGCGCCGCCGGTGGGTGCACTCCCAAGTCTCTGCTCTTCTGGATGAACCCCTTCCTTGGCTCAAAACCCCACTACCATCTAATGGAACTCACAGTGATCTTAGAGGGCAGAGTAGTACTGCTTCATAGGGTGTCAATCTTTATGGAGCTGCTTGTTGGTAAAGGTTTGAACTGCCCACATTTCGGTTGGTAGCCGAGCCCTTATTCAGAGCTCCTTGGCACAAAAGATACCTCTTTTACCCAGATTTAGGGATTTAAACTTTTACCATATGGTTGAAAGAGGAAGCTTTGTTATAAAGGCAGCGGCAGCGGTAGTGAGACTTACAAAGCCTTCAGTGTGTCCTCGTGTTCTGGGTACTTTAGATAACCTGTTGAGTCAGAAGGTGGGGGTGGTTCCGTTTTACAGATGAGTAAACAGAGAGGTGAAACTGGAATATGGTTTCTAGGCACTGTTCTCCAACCATCTCTTGGGGTGGCTAAGGAGAAACACTTTGGTTACCAGGTCTGTGGTTTTTACTCAATAGGGATGGGAACTTTTTTTTTTTTTTATGTTTTATTGTGAATTATATGATAGTTTACATGAGAGAACCTCAGTTCCATATTCATTCCATCGTATATCATTACATTGCCATGGTTCCAATCCCCTCCATGCATCGTCTTCGGACCAAAGGGCATATCCAATAAGCCCGTGCTTTACACTCCCCCCTCCCCCCTCAGTCTTCCGGCCCACAGTTCCTCTCCCTCTCTGGATCCAAAGACCCCAGCCGCTTCATCCCTCCATGTCATCATCTCTGTCTGGGATGGGAACATTTTGAAACAGATACTATTTCCCCAAGGAATAATGGTGTTTTTTTAAGGAAAAAAAAAAAAAAAAATGGTTGGTAGCTCTGACTCAGGGGATGATAATGCACACAAACGCCCAATGTACTTTTAGAGCTTATCACTGTGATAATCTGGATTCTAGAGTTTGCTTTGTTCTACTGCACTGTTGCCCAGGTGCTGGATAGAGGGAAGGGGTTGGTTTCACTGATTCTCAGGTGCTTGTTTCTCATCACATAATTTACTCCTCCCTCATGATCCTCTTTGATGGGGCAGGTATCATAACAATAAAGGTAGCGCTTTTTGAAAAGAGAAATCACTCACAATTCACCTGAGGCATTGTTGTGTTTATTCTTCCAGTCCTTGGCCAAGTCAAAAATCTGCAGCAATCACACTACTGTCTTAAAATGTTATTTTTGAACTTTGGAAGTTATTCCAAAAGTGGGCAGCATTTTCCTCCAGAGAAACTGTTGATTGATTAAACATTTATACTCTAATGAGACCTGACTCTGTTGTTTGGAGCTCTCTATTGGGTCAGAAAAGAAGTGTTGTCTGCCTGATGTTGCAGAGGGTTAGCCATTTCTCAGCCAATCTATTTCATGTTTTGTCCAGCTCTGAGCTGGACAACAGAGACCAAATTATGAAGATACAGGGACTCGCCAGCCCTGCCCTCAGTACTTCAGTCTATTTAGCAGATTGTTGGGATTGTCTCAGGATGGCAGCCCTTTTATCAGAGGGCACTGTGGAGCATGGGTATCAAAGAGTGTGGTTAGCCTGGGATATCTTGGTGGAGTCTGTGGGCAATGAGGACTGGCTTTTGGAAGATGGAAAGCCTGACCTGGCCTTGAAGAGTCGGGTAGGGATTAGAAACCGCGATGTCGATGTCTGTGTGTATATAGGAGGTGTTCTGACACAGGTGCTGGCCAGTTTGCTTACCTGCACTAACACATTTGGTTAGCCCCAAGGGAGGTTTCTATGTTCTCATTTTAAGCTCGAAGTTTCTGATCAATAAAATTATAAAAAATAATGATACAGTTACTATTAATAGCAGTCTCTTTTTAATTATTACTTTTGAACCAGATTCTTGGGCAAGTGCTTCACATATTTCATCTCATTTAAATTTACAACAAACTGTGAGGGTGGGCACTGATTCTTATTTTGCAATACCTGAAGCACAGAGAAATTCAGTAATTGCTCAAGGATCCAAGCTGGTCTTATTTCTTCTTTTCAATAATCCAAAAACACAACTAGAAATAGGAGGTACTTGGGGCTTATTTGTAGCCTTTGTACAGTACATTGTGTCTTCCTGTGTGTCCCTGGAGAGCAGAGGGGTTGTAGGGTAGGACCCCTCTGAGAAGGTTCTAGTGACACAGTGATGGAGACAGTGGGAGATGGAGGGTCAGGCTTCCACCATTTTGGTGGGAAAAGTCACTTCCACCCTACAACCCACAGGCTTATTGAGTGGCTGGTTCCAGTTCCCTTTTTGTTCTCAGACCCCCACCTCCGCTCAAAAGATTTCCTCATGTTAACTTCTTTTTGTGGCCTTTTTTGGGGGAGAGTCTCCTTGTAATTCCGAAGGAGTCTCCTTAGAATAGTCCCAGAATGAAAATGCCCCTTGGTAAAAACAACATATTTGACCTCTAGAACTAACTTTGTGATTTAAAATGGCAGTCAGGATTTAGGAAGGTGATCTCTAGGGAAACAGATAGGACATTAGTACCTTGGCTTTCTGAAGAATTTGCTTCATGGAAATTTGAAAACAAGAAGACTATCACTTTGTCCAAACAATAAATAATCAGTTGCTTTGAAGAACAAGTTATAGTTTGGTTTTTAAATTTTCTCCATCCTGGAACCTGGTAGTGTAGTGGTTAAGAATCGGGCTGCCAATCTCACGATCAGCAGTTCAAAACTACCAGCTATTCTGTGGGAGAAAGATGAGGCTTTCTGCTCCCGTAAAGATTTACAGCCTCGGAAACCCTGTAAAGGGTTACTATGAGTCAGAACTGACTCCACGGCACATAACAACAACAATTCACTTTATCTACACAAGGCTGTGTTGTTAAGTGCTTTTGAGTTGATTCCTACCCATAGGACCCTGTATAGGATTTCCAAGGAGTGGCTGGTGGTTTTGAACTGCTGACCTTGCAGCTCAAATTGAACTTGTGGTCCACCACATTATCCTACAGTCACACTAGTAAAATGTCACAAATAGGGTTTTGAGTGAACTCGGGGAACTTTCAGATTGTGTGTGGGGTCATTCCCATGCCCCATGAGATGGTGACGCCACAATCTCAGCCGCCTTTGTTCCCTTCGGTTTCTCGCCAGGTTCCAGGATGGAGAAAGTTAAAAAACCAAACTATAAATTGTTCTTCAGAGCAACTGATTATGATTTTTTTCTTAGCACAAACTAGTTAGAGAAATCCATGTTATTAGACAGTTTGCGATCTTAGAAGTATTAGCTTAGTGCACACAGTTTTAAGTTGATTGAGGGGTAGGAAAAAGTAAAGCCAGTAGGCTTTTAAACCAATGGTCTCTGTTTACTTTCTCTGCAATATGGTCTTGGGTCATCAGGGGTCTGTATTTGGGGCTTGAGCTTTGGCCACTTAATGAATTGACACAGCTCACAGGCTGCTTCCTACCTATGTGATTTCAAGAATACCTCTTTTCCTCCTTTCTGCAAGGTGATGATAACAGAAGGCAGATCCTGGCTCCCCCTCCCCTCCACCACCGAATTAAACTGGGCTTTGGAAAAAAGCAAATAGGGAAATCTGTTTTGGGATCACCTAGCATCATCAGATACCCACTCTCCCGCCCCTCAAATGTCATGTCCCCAAACCTTCACATCTGTGACAAGGGGTGATGCCGAGCTTACTGGAGAAAGAAAACAGACAAGTCTAGAAAGAGACAAGTTGGCTGCCCTCCTACCTCTGCCTTTGTGTGTCAAGAGGAGCGGAGGCGGAAATTGGTAAACCCAGACCCTGCAAAACCATTTAAGGAAGACTGGCTGCTGCTCCTTCCTCATGGGGCTACTGGACCTGCCTCTCCCTCTGCCAGGTGATTATGGAAATCCTTGTTTGCTATTTGGGAGGGACTTTTTATTAGGTGAGCCTATTCTTCCAAAATACTCACCTGGGTGTCTATTACACATTCCCTTCCAAATGTAGCCCAGATAAGCCAGCCCCTGAGACAGTCACCTCCACCAACCTCCTCTCAGAGTTTCCCAGAGGCTGCCAAAACCCTAAAATCTCAAGAGGCAGTTGTCACTTCCCCAACTGAGCTATTCTACAATGTCTCAACCCCTCCATCTCCTCTCAGGGTATGTGTGTGTGTGTGTGTGTGAAATCATCAGTAGAGCTGGTTTGTGTAGTTCAGTGAGTAAGCAGGTGAAAGGTCTAGGTTTGAATTTCATTTACTCCTTATATGACCATGAGTAAGCCACTTCTACTTCTGAGCCTCAGCTTCATCATCCCTAAAGTGGGGGCAGTAATAATACTCAGACTTATTGTGATAATTAAATATGCACATTCATTAATTTTTCCCTAAAATTATGAGTGCTGGTACTAGGTTAGAACTGTAATACAGTAATGAATAAAGTAGCCATGGACTGGACAAAAATGCAAATGAGAGCATGTGTAAAGATGGGAAAAAGTCATTTAATGGTAGCTAGTGGACTTCTGTCCTGGTGTGGCACTGTGGGTTAATGTGCCAGACTGCAAAGCCGTTTGAACTGAAAGGTGGGCGGTTCAAGCTCACCATCTGCTCCTTGGAAACCCTATACAGGATCACTATGGGTCAGATTTGACTGGACGGCACTTAACAACAACAAGTGGACTTCTGGTATGGCACTGTGGGTTAATGCACTGGACTGTAAAGTTGGTTTGAACTATAAGGTCAGCAGTTCAAGCTCACCAGTCACCTTTCAGAAAGTGGTTGCTATGTGTCAGAACTGACTCGATGGCACTTAATAACAACAGTGGATTTCTGGTATGGCAGTGTATAATCAGCACTAGACTGTAAACCACAAGGCTGGCAATTGAAACCCACCAGTTGCTCCTCGGAAACCCTGTACCAGGTCCGTCAGAATCAACAACAAGAAGCCAATAACAACAACAACCATAGTATTTTATAGGATTCCTGGTGTGGTGCTTTAGGATAAGCACTGGACCGCAAGGTCC